TGTATAAAAAATAAAAAAAATAAATAAAAAGACAAAACAAATAGTTAATGTAATGGTTTGATTCTGAAACCACTGACAAAATACATAGGAGTGTGTGTGTGCTTGTGACCAAAACTGGTTTCACAGAACTACTCATCTGTCTGACGAGAAGGCAGTCTTAACTAAATAACTAGGATACTTGGAGAGATTGGGAGAGTGCAATTTAGAAATAATATCAAATCACAGTTATAACATAATTAGTCAAAATTCAATCCATACCCAATCCAAAAGTGTCAAAATAATTCCAGGACAAAATTATAGAAACAAAAACCATACCATCAGAGATAATAAAAGAGCCTGTTACATTTTCTGCTCCTTAGCTGACCTCATCTTTGTTCCAGGTTCAAAAGAGACAAGACAGGCAAAATCAATGCACGGACCGCATGGCTACAAATCCTCTAAATCCCTGCCCTTCCCCTCATCTTCTTTTCTGTGTCCTGATTCCACAGTGACACTGGTCCCCTGGGAGATCTCCTGCCAATCCAAGGGCCCCTGGAGAGAGCCTAAATGACCTCACTGAGAAGAGATACACCTGAGTCCCAGTGGCCATGTGGTATTGAGTAATTAACAAGGATCTCTGAACAATAGGCACAATTTCCAACATGTGAGTGTTTTCATTTCTCTGAGTGGTTTTTTAATAGGTACTCTATTAAACCTCTGGATGAATAAGTCAACTGCTACATTTCCTCAAATCTAAGATTTATCATTAATAAGATATACCATTATTTTATGGACCCATAAGAAAGAAAAAAATGCTGCTACTTATATAACTCAATGCTTTCTTATTACTTAGAATTTTCCCACACAATATTCTTCTTTTTTTTCTCCAATTAAGTTTATTGGTACATTTTAGGTATAAAATACAGTTACATTCATCATTGGGATCTTGTACCATTACATGAGTATCTTGGTTCGTATTTCTTTCCCCTTCCCCTGCCCTCCCTTTACCCTCTCCACCCTTCCCTATTTGCAAAGACTTTGTTTCCATTTTTTTTTCTTTTCTCATATTTTTTCTTTTCCTTTCTTTCCTTTCTCCAACCCCTCCCACTTCCCCTGCTCCTTCAGACCTTTTCTTCCTATTACACAATATCAATTATATATTTTTTAATTACAATTTCAAGATCTAGGAAACATTACCACAGATTTTACAGAATTTGAAAGGATATAGAAAGCATATTACAAAAATCTTTTTTTGAAATAAATTTGACAACTTCTAAGAAGTACCTTGGAAGACAAATTAAT